GAACTTCCTTGAAATTCTCCCATCCCTTCACCAAAATCTTGGTCTCATATATTTTCTTCTTTCCAGCATCAGTTGCCACAAGTGTTATATAGTATATTATTCCAGCAACAACTTGTTCCTTCACATTCAAATTTTCTACAAACTCCAAATGAGCATTCTGAAAAATAAAACATACGTCGTTCGTTCAAATAAAAGAGTTATTAGATACAAAAAATAAATTCAAAATTAAGAGATTAACCTCTTTCTTATTATAATCTTGAACAGCAAAACGAGCAAGATCTTTGAACTCGGGGAGGTTTGGGAATGGAACATTGGTAATGCCCCCAGGATTTGGACTATCATCACCAACAAGCTTGAATTCTACAACTTTTTTGAAGTCCTCCCATTCCTTCACCCAAATCTTAGTTTCGTATATTTTCTTCTTTCCAGCATCAGTTGCCACAAGTGTTATGTAGTATAACGTTCCAGCAACAAGTTGTTCTTTCACATTCAAGTTTTCTACATACTCTAAATGAGCATTCTGAAAAATAGATGGTATATACATGAAAGAATTATTAGATACTACAGTAGATTCAGAATTTAAATGTGAAAAATAGAAGAAGGATAAGTTATTATAATTAACCTGTGCCTTATTATAATCCTGCACAGCAAAACGAGCAAGATCTTGAAGTGGGGGGATGTTTGGATCTGGAACATCGACAATGTCTCCAGTTTTTACACTATCATCACTAACAGGCTTAAATTCCACAACTTTTATGAAGTGCTCCCATTCTTTCACCCAAATGTTAGCTTCATATATTTTCTTCTTTCCAGCATCAGTTACCGCAAGTGTTATATAGTACATCATTCCAGCAACAACTTGTTCCTTCACATTCAAAACTTCTACAAACTCCAAATGAGCCTTCTGAAAAATTGATTATATATGCCATTATGGATTCAAAATTTGAATACGATTTGTTTGAATCTGAAACTAACAAACGCATAAAAAAACTGTGATTTTCTGGGAATTAATATGAAAATTCGCAAGAAACTTATTTTCCTGCAAATTAGTATGTCCCATGTACTACAAGAAAACTGTGGATTACATGGGGATTTTCCTGCGAATTAGTATGAAAATTTGCAGGATAATAAATTTCCTGTGAATTTTCATGCTAATCCCAGGAAAATCCCTATTTAATTCACAGTTTTTCTCATCACAGTTTTCTTGTTGTGTAAAAAATAAAATAATAGTAAATCATTTTAATTAACCTCTTTATTATTATAATCCTGAACCGCAAAACGAGCAAGATCTTGAAACTCGGGGCTGTTTGGGAATGGAACATTGATAATCCCCCCAAGCTTTGCACCATCATCACCAACAAGCTTGAACTCTACAACTTTTTTGAAGTCTTCCCATTCCTTCACCCAAATCTTTGTTTCATATATGTTTTTCTTTCCAGCATCAGTTGCTGCAAATGTTATATAGTACAACATTCCAGCAACAACTTGTTTTTTCACATTCAGATTTTCTACAAACTCCAAATGGGCATTCTGAAAAATAAATTGTATATGACGTTCATTCAAATGAAATAATTATTAGATATCTCATGCAATGGGTTCAAAATTAAAATATTATAAATTTGAATATGAAATTAACAGGAAAAAATAGAAGATGAGTAAGTCATTGTAAATAACCTCTTTCTTATTATAATCCTGAATAGCAAAACGTGTAAGATCTTGGAACTCGCGTTTGTTTGGGAATGGAACATCGGTAAAGCCCCCAATTATTGCACTATCCTTACCAACAAGCTTGAAGCTTATAACTTTCTTGAAGTCCTCCCATTCCTTCACCCAAATCTTGGCTTCATAATCTTTTTTATTTCCATCATCAGTTGCCACAAGTGTTATATAGTACATCATTCCAGAAACAACTTGTTCTTTCACATTCAAAACTTCTACAAACTCCAAATGGGCATTCTGAAAAAATAAATTGTATAGGACGTTCGTTCAAATAAAAGAATTGTTAGATATCGAAATAGATTCAAGATTTGAATACTATGTATAGCTTTTAATGTAAGATTAACGAAAAAAATAAAAGAGGAGTAAGTCATTGTAATTGACCTGTGACTTATTATAATCATTAACAGCAAAACGAGCAAGATCTTGGAACTCGGGGTTATTTGGGTTTGGAACATCGATAATGCCCCCAACTTTTGCACTATTATCACCAACCAGTTTGAATTCTACCACTTTTTTGAAATCTTCCCATTCCTTCACCCAAATCTTAGTTTCATATATTTTCTTCTTTCCAGCATCTGTTGCCGCAAGTGTTATATAGTACATCATTCCAGCAACAACTTGTTCTTTCACATTCAAGTTTTCTACAAACTCCAAATGAGCCTTCTGAAAAATAGATTATTTATGACATTGTAGCGGATTTAGAATTTGAATATTATAGGTTTGAATGTGAAACTAACGAAAAATGAAAAAGGAGTAAGCCGTTTGAATAAACCTCTTTTTCATTATAATCCTGAATAGCAAAACGAGCAAGCTTTTGAAACTCGGGCTTGTTTGGAAATGGAACACTAATGATGCCCCCAGGCTTTGTAATATCATCACCACTGAGCTTGAATTCTACAACTTTTTTGAAGTTCTCCCATTCCTTCACCCAAATCTTAGCTTCATATATTTTCTTTATTCCAGCATCAGTTGCAGCAAGTGTTATATAGTACATCATTCCAGCAACAACTTGCTCTTTAACATTCAAATTTTCCACAAACTCCAAATGAGTTTTCTGAAAAATAAATTGTGTATGACGTTGGTTCAAATGAAAGAATTGACCATTAATTAGATATTGTAGTGGATTCAGGATTTAAATATGAAATTAATGAAAAAAACAGAAGAGGACTAAGTCGTGATAACCTGTTTTTCATTATAATCCTGAACAGCAAAACGAGCAAGCTCTTGAAACTCGTTGCTATTTGGGTTTGGAACGTTGATAATGCCCCCAGGCTTTGTACGATCATCACCTACAAGCTTGAACCCTACAACTTTCTTGAAGTTCTCCGATTCCTTCACCCAAATCTTTGCTTCATATTCTTTCTTCTTTCCACCTTCAGTGCCCTCAAATGTTATATAGTACATTATTCCAGCAACTATTTGTTTCTTCACCTTCAAAACTTTTTCAAACTCCAAACTAGAACCCTGAAATATACAAAATATGTTGTTGAAATGCACGAATTATGAATAGGTCATGCATACTAATTATTCACAAAGTAAGCATTTACAAAATATATGTAGCCATTTCACACCATCAATTATGTTATGTAAATTTTTCATTAACTAATTAGGATGTGATTCATGTGTGATCGAAATAAATTAAAATAATTATTTACATTTTTCTGATTATAATCTTTGACAGCAAAACGAGCAAGATCATCAAACTCGACTTTGTTTTGGAATGGAACATCGACAAGGCCTCCTACGTTTGCCATCACTGCCAATAATTAATTGTGTTATAAGAAGAAGGATATATTATTTTTGTGATGAGAAGAATGGTGAACTTAGCTGCTTTTTATAGAGAGAAAAAGAAAAAGTTAGGTAGCACGTTATAAATATTTTGATTTAATTTGATGGATTTGGATTTTAGCAAAAAATATTTAAAATAAAAACACTCAAATTTTATAATCGACTCCCCTCATATGTAATGCATCAAATGGTAAATATTACACCTCATTTTCAACCATTGTTTTTTATTTGAAAAAACTGCATAAATAAGACAAAATAAAATTGCAAATTGTCCATGTCCATCCAAAAGTAAGGTGAAAAACGTGGGGATAATTGATAAGAATATCAAATATTCTTTTTCACAAATGAAAATATAGTGTGATTTTTCTTGCACCTATATACTGAGGCGGGTTAGGTGGTGGTTCATAAGTTCGGACAAATTCACTAGTTTTTTCATAGATTTTATATTTGTGTTAGAAAATTAAATAAATATATGTATATTAAAATGTGAAACTTCAACAAAATTAATTTAAAACCTTGAAACTTCTAACTTTGCTCCACCTCTGCCTGTATATTTAATCAAATAAATGAGATAATTGATGCGATTCAAAATTTGAATTTGATTGATTTTATTTTAAAATTCTTTGCACTAAACTCACAATGCCTTTTGAAATCATTCAAGAAATATTAGATAATATGATAGCTTTATA